CGATCTCTCCTCACCGCAACCTCCGCCTCCCGGGTTCAAGCGATTCTCCAGCCTCAGCCTCCTGAGTAGCGGGGATTACAGGCATACGCCACCACGCCCAGCTAATTTTTTATTTTTAGTAAAGACGGTTTTCTCCGTGCTGGTGAGGCTGGTCTCAAACTCCTGACCTCAGATGATCCGCCCGCCTCAGCCTCCCAAAGTGCTGGGATTACAGGCTTGAGCCACCGCGCCTTTCTTTCTCTTTCTTTCTCCTTCTTTCCTTCCTTCCTTCTTTCTTTTCTCTTTCCTTCTTTCCTTTCTTTCTCTCTCTCTCTCTCTCTCTCTCTCTCTCGTCAGGGTCTTGCCCTGTCACCAAGCTGGAGTGCAGTGGCGTGATTATAACTCACCACAGCCTCCAACACTGTGGAGGTCTCAAGTGATCCTCCCAAAATGCCGGGTTTACAGGCATGAACCATCATGTGCAGCCAAAGGGTTTCTTTCTTTGAGGGTATTGAGCCCAATAAGCCCGAAAGGCTACAGCATCTTCCACTCAAACGTGCGTCTCCTTCCCACCGAAGGTCTATCCGTTCTCCGTCCTCTCCCCCGGCAGTAGCCCTGGTCTGTACCTCACCTTCTAGATTTTGGCACCAGCCTCTTCCTCGCAGACTTTCTTTTTTCCACTTCTGAACGTTTGTTCTCTGCTTACGGCCTTCAGTGTTGGCCAGGCTGGTCTCAAACTCCCAACCTCAAGTGATCATCCTACCCTAGCCTCCCAAAGTGCTGGGATTACAAGCATGAGCCACCACACCCAGCCATAGTTTTTAATTAAATATTTCCCTTATGAGAGGGTCATTTCACTCCTACTGGGGTATGGAACCAGACTGGGGACTCTGAGAAGGCAGCTTCAGTGTCCAGCGTGGGCCAAGCATGTACTTGGCTGAGCCAATGTCACTTCCTTGTCTTCTCCCTCTGGTAGGGCCTTCCTGCTGTCCCTGGTGGCACCAGTGGCGTTGACGGTGGCCAGGTGGGCAAAGCGTGGGACCCAGAGAAGTTAGCCCAGGAACTGGCGGTGTCACTTACCAGGTATGTGCCTGGGTCCCGGGCTGGGCGGGGGGGCGGAGGCTGGACAGTTTATGTGAGGTCCCCAGGGGTAGGGTGTTGTATGCAGCAGAAGCTAAGGTGCACACCTGTGTACAGGTGTGTTTATGTGACAATACTGTGGGCAGGTGGGGGAGGAGAGGTGGGAAATCGGATCGGCTGTGCTGTGAGCTCCCTCTCTTCTCCATCTTTACATCAGGGCAGCGGACCTGCGGGAGCAGCTGCAGTCTCTGCGTGGGGAGCTGGAACGCATGGCTCAGAAGGGGCGAGCCAGACGGTCTCAGAGTGCCGAGCTGAACAGGGACTTATGCAAAGCCCACAGGTAGGACCCCTGTTCTGCACCCTGCCAATTCCCCTGGCACTGTCCCCGACCAGGATCTCAGAAGTATCCCTGGCTCTCTCTGGGTCTCAGCTTTTCCCCCTGTCCCAAGATAGTCAGTGAAGATTTGTAATTCCACACCTGTAATCCCAGCTACTTGGGAAGCTGAGGCAGGAGAATTGCTTGAACCCAGGATGTGGAGGTTGCAGTGAGCAGAGATCACACCACTGCACTGCAGCTGGGGCAACAGAGCAAGACTCTGTCTCAAAACAAACAACAGGCTGGGCGCGGTGGCTCACCCCTGTAATCCCAGCACTTTGGGAGGCCGAGGCGGGTGGATCACTTGAGGTCAGGAGTTCGAGACCAGCCTGGACAACATATTAAAACCTGGTCTTTACTAAAAAAATACCAAAAAATTAGCTGGGTGTGGTGGTGGGTGCCTGCAATCCCAGCTACTTAGGACACGGAGGCAGAAGAATCACTTGAATCTGGGAGGCAGAGGTTGTAATGAGGAGAGATCTCGCCATTGCACTCCAGCCTGGGCAACAAGAGCAAAACTCCGTCTCAACAACAAAAAGACCAGCTAGGCCGGGCTTGGTGGCTCATGCCTGTAATCCCAGCACTTTGGGAGGCCGAGGTGGGGGAATCACCTGAGGTCGAGAGTTCAAGACCGGCCTGACCAACATGGAGAAACTCCGTCTCTATTAAAAATAAAAAATTAGGTGCTCGCTTCAGCAGCACATATACTAAAATTGGAACGATACAGAGAAAATTAGTATGGCCCCTGCACAAGGATGACATGCAAATTCGTGAAGCGTTCCATATTTTTTTTCTTTTAATATGAAAAAAAGTAAATTAAAAAAAAAATATATATATATATATATATATATAATTAAGGCTGGGTGGGGTGGCTCACGTCTGTAATCCTAGCACTTTGGGAGGCCAAGGCAGGTGGATCACGAGGTCAGGAGATCGAGATCATCCTGGCCAACATGATGAAACCCCGTCTCTACTAAAATACAAAAAAAAAAAATTAGCTGGGTGTGGTGGCGTGTGCCTGTAATCCCAGCTACTCAGGAGGCTGAGGCAAGAGAATCACTTGAACACGGGAAGTGGAGGTTGCAGTGAGCCAAGATCGAGCCACTGCACTCCAGCCTGGGTGACAGAGCAAGACTCTATCTAAAAAACAAAAAAATTAGCTGGGTGTGGTGTTGCATGCCTGTAGTCCCAGCTACTCGGGAGGCTGAGGCAGGAGAATTGCTTGAACCCAGGAGGCAGAGATTGCAGTGAACCGAGATCGCGCCATTGCACTCCAGCCTGGGCGACAGTGCAAGATTTGGTCTCAAAACAAAAACAAAAACCAAATTAGCCCGACATGGGGGTGTATGCCTGTAATCCCAGCTACCTGAGGCAGGAGAATCACTTGAACCTGGGAAACGGAGGTTGCGGTAAGCCAGGATCACCCCACTGCACTCCAAGGGCAAAATTTTATCTCGGGAAAAAAAA